AAAAATGCAGAAATGGTATAAAGTGTGGCCTTTATCCATTTTCTTCGCTGAAGTTGGAAGGCAGAGAATCATTCTGTAAGCTTTTGAGTGTTAATAACTTGTGATAAGATAATTTAAAAGTGATGATGAAGCAACTTCCATTAGTAATTGTAGCGACTCTGTAGGCTTGTATTTGGTACCTGAAGATTTGCAAAAAATAAATATTTTGCTACATTAAAAAGCAAAGTTGAATGGTAGAGGCTAGTACATTCATCTGGCACACCTGCTGCAACAAAAACAAATAGAGGGGGTCATTGAAGGATTTTGTCCATGTTGAGTGTGCCGTCAGGAATAAATAAAGCATTCAGGTAAAGCTGAAATGCAGAAGAATGTTGGGGACAATAAACGGAAGTCACAATGTTCAAATATGCTGATTTCCATTGTGTTGTTCCCCGCATTCTTTATCTTTTCAACTTTACCGAATTACTCTATCCAGCACTGTAAGCATAGAAGGTCATAGAGGAGGCATGGAAATTATTACCTATTTGAAGAACAATCTATCGAAGTAGAAGTCCTTGCTCTTGTTGGCGTGTCGACGGCGGCGCGCCCTGGCCTCCGCCGCGCCCTCCAGGCACCTGCGGCGACGAGCTCTTCACTGAACCGGCGGGCGCGCGCGCGGCCGGCCTGCCCGTCATGTGCATCCTGGAGCTGCACGGCAGCCCGCCCGTCCTGGACAGCGTACTGGTGGCGCTGAGGAGAGCCAATATTAAGGCTTTTCAGGATTCAAGCGAGTTTTGCATTTTGTGAGAAAATCCTATTAAACCGTGGCAAAAAGCGGCCGATGTAAATACGGCGAAGGGACTGAATACCCGAAAAACTTTCAATGTTCATTTCGGCTCATCAATTGTGGTTCACTCCTCACCAGGTGTCGCAACAATAATATCGTACCCTGGCTCGGATAAGGCCCACAAAAAATTGCTTTCTTCTTTACGTGGTCCAGTTCTTACATCATCGGATGAGGAAGAGAAAATTATCGTAGCAGCTTCCAGCATTTTAAAGAGAGCTATAAGTTGTCAAG